CCTTGATATTTGGAATACAACTAGACACTTTGAATATGAATTCACCTATGGCAAAAAAATTGGGGTGGGCGTGGCACATCCGGGTTGAATTACTAATTGTTTATATTTTGGGGCTGGGGCATAACTCGCATAGGATACGTTTGTTCAAAAAGGGACTTTGCACACAATTACCTCATCCTTTTGGCCAGTTTGTGTTAACAGCTCAGTTGTTTCAGCTTTATAGTTCCAAAAAGGAACGGGTTTTAACATTTGGATATTTTCATTTTTCGATTTTGACCTTTGTTGACATTTGTTGACCTATATCTTTTGACTTGAATAATGTAGAAGCTTGAAATTTGAAACACAACATAACATTTGGAATATCAATTACCCTATGCAAAAAATACGTATACGTTTGTTCAAAATGGAACTTTGCATACAATTATCTCATGAATTGAGCCACTTTGTCTTAGAAATTCGGTTGTTTCCGCTTCTTAGTTCAAAAAAAGGAACAGGTTTTGGAAATTCAAAATTTTCAATTTTTGACCTTGACCTTTGATGACCTTGACCTTTTTTGGGTCAAAGGTCATTGACGTTGTCTACTAGTTTATGCTTTCATATTTGACCTCTGACATCTACTTTCGCTTTTATAGCTGTCCAAAAACATCCAAATTCGCAACTTTGGACTGCTCTAGCACGTGACCTAATTAACCTAGAGAGTAATTTTTTTCGGTTTCCTAATGTGCTTCTCGTGTACTTTACATAGATATATAACAATCGTTTTTTTAAAGCAAAATTGAAATTCGTGATTTTTTCAAATTTGAGTTTTTTTTTACAATATTTGCGACTTTTTGAGCTTAGTGTATGTATATGTTATGATCTATTTGATGTAGAACCTTGATATTTGGAATATAACTAGACACTTTGAATATGAATTCACCTATGACAAAAAAACTTATGTGGGCGTGGCACATCCGGGTTGAATTACTAATTGTTTACATTTCGGGGCTGGGGCATAAGTCGCATAGGATGCGTTTGTTCAAAAAGAGACTTTGCACACAATTACCTCATCCTTTTGGCCAGTATGTATTAACAGCTCAGTTGTTTCAGCTTCATAGTTTCAAAAAAGGAACGGGTTTTAACATTTGGATATTTTCATTTTTCGATTTTGACCTTTGTTGACTTTTGTTGACCTATATCTTTTGACCTCTATTATGTAGGAACTTGACATTTAGAACATAACGTAACATTTTGAATATTGATTACCTTATTCAAAAAAAATTGAGTTGGGCGTGGCACT